AATGACGGCATACTTATTCCTGGGACGCCTACCTCTTTGCTTATCGTTAATTCCTGTTTGTGGTACTTGATGGCTTGTTCGTAATAGCCCAAGGCGTTGTAAGCATTGCCGATGTTTCCGTACGCTCTACCCATACCGGCCTTGTCTCCTAACGATCTTGCGATCCCCAAGTGTGCCTGATGTAATTTCAAGGCGGCATCGTGCTCGCCGAGCAGTTGGTACACTATGCCCAGATTACTGCAGGCTCGTCCCTCGGCCACTTTGTCTTTCGTGGTCAACGCAACGTCGAGCTGTCTCTGATGCCAGAGCTTGGCTTGCGCCAAATCGCCTGAAATTATTTACAACGAAATTATGTTGCAGGAAAACTTGAAATAATACACGCTAATATACATAATACAATCCCTGTTTAAAATAATAAATATAATACGACCAGATTACATTAGATTACATGCCATTTCCATTTTGCATGTAATCTAATGTAATCTGATTCTATTCTAACATTTTAAACAGGGATATAACAACACAATACTTAAATAATGATTATCATCACCTGCACATCTGGCGGCATGACCTAATCCCGCGTACGCTCTGGTCTCTATCGCTCTGTCTCCAAGCTCCTGTGCTATTCTCAAAACGTTTTCGTGATAAGCCATCGCCTGCCCAAAATTTCTACGATAGTGGTGAGACGATCCCAAGTTACTGAAGGCCCTCGCCTCCTCCACGCGATCACCCAGCCGTCTGGCTATCCTCAGGTGTTGCGTATGACAGTCGACAGCGCTCTCGAACTCCCCCATCGCCAGATAGACCGCCCCGACGTTACCGATCTCGCGAGCCTCCTGCAGCCGGTCCCCCATCTGCTTCACCAACTGTACGCACTGCTTGTGAGAGGCCAGGGCGTTCGGCAAATCGCCGATCGCCGTGTAGACGTGTCCCAGGCTGGTCAAGGCCGAGGCCGCCGCCTGCGTATCCTTGCACTTCATAGCTAGAACAAGTTGGTACCTATGGGCCGTCAGAGCCTCCTTGAAACTGCCCTTGCTGAAGTAAGCGGAGCCCAGATTCCCGTGGGCCCTGCACTCGCCCTGCGTGTCCCCAAGGGAGCGCGCCACTCCTGAAAGTTTCGATTGTCGATAAGCAAATCATTCTTCCGCGTTAAATTCACAGATTACAAATTGAAAGGAATCAACGCAAAAGTTCCCACCCGACTCACTCTACTCTCGACTTGTGTCCATTTTCACCAATGCAGATTAACTTCCGCGATAGCCAAATCTGTGAGAACAGATCTTGTCGAATGCCCACTACAAATTTTGATGGCTAGAAAGACCGCAGATTGCATACAGGAACTGATATATTCGACATGTTGCCAGGCATGTCAGCAGAAATACAATAAAATCTGCTCACATAACTGGACCTGCTCGGTTTCTGCCGATAATCTGTTGACAGCGTACGTTTAACAGATTCTGTTGCCAAAAGCCAATTGCGGACACAGAAGGCTATGGTTTTGGTGTGGGTTTCTGACGAATCTGCTGCCAATCTGCCAACATTTTGCTGACTGGGCTTGATCTCGGTTTAACTTACTTTTTATCTTTTTCTAGTTTCAGAAATTGGAAAAAGAGAAAACTCAGTTAAACTGGGATTAAAGTTAATCTGCATTGGTAGAATGCATTAATCTGCTGTTTACCCAGATCCTGCTGCATGTAGTTGATCGCCTTGTCCAGAGAGTTCAGCGCCCAGTACGCGCTGGACAGGGCGGAGAATACGGAACCCCTCAGTTTCAAGCTGCACGAACCGATGGTGAGCGCGGCCTCCAGCACGCCAGCGGCCGCCCGGTACTGTCCAGCCCCGAGCAGCTCTTGGCCGACCACGGATATGACGACGAACGGTGACTCGTCGAGCTTCATCGCGCGCAGCTGTTGGAACGTCGGCTCCAAGGTCGGTCGCAGCGGAGACTTGAGAGACGCTTCTACCAAGCCTGACAACAGCTGGTGATTGGACGCGTCGTGAGCGAGTCCCGTGCTGAAGGCGACGAGCGCCTCCCCGTGACGTCCTAGGCATTGCAGCGCTACTCCTTGCCGGTAGTACGCCTGAAAGGCGATCGTTAAATCCGAGAAACTGGCACCGACAAAACATTTTGCGCGCAAACATCTAGCTTTGTGACTGGGATGAGATTTTGCTTGCGTAGTTGAGCCACTTTTGTACGCGAGTTATTAGATATCTGCGCGCAAAACTATACATTAATACACGAGCTAACTACTTGCGTGCAAAAGCACTCGGGCAAATCTCAAGTACAAGTTTGCACGCGTAAGACAGGCAAGATTTGCGCGCAGGAATTGTAGGTAGAGGTGCACGAAGGATCGAGGGGAAGAACGCGTACCTTCGGCCACTGCGGACTCAGCTCGGTAGCTCTGACAGCGTCCTGCAACGCGAGCACGAATAATCCCATTTTGAGCCTGGCGGCTGATCTGTTCGAGTACAGCACGTGACTGAGGGGGTCCAGGACGAGGGCTTCCGTGTACAATGTCGCGGCCAGTGCGTAATCTCCATTTTGGCACGCCGCGTTACTCCTGCGTACCGTTTCTAGGAATAGTGCCCTGGATCCAGCGGCCAAGGCCGACGTACCTTCGGGCTCCACCTTCATCAAATTGGCACAATCTTACTTGGAGCAAGCAACTTCCTGCTTTTATCAATAGACAAAACTAAACGGCCTATACAGAATAGGGCAACTCCAGTTCGCAACCAAATGGTTGTGTTGGGCCAATGTTTAGCCAATGTACTGTGCTACCAGGGAAGGAGTCACATGCATAAAGATCCATGGAATTAAAAGCAGCCACTAAGCGAGTGTCTGTTATTTCCACCCTTAACTGTAGTAAAATCAATGCCTGTGTCCAGCAGAAGTTAGAGCGCTTGCTAAGCACTTTGCGTTCATTGGATTATACTTTCAGATCTGTGCTGAAATAGAGCTATTCTTCTAGATCTATCCAATCAGCATAAAGCGCTTATTAAGCGCTAACTTCTGGAGAACACAGCCAACGATAATCGAAAAGCTTTACACACGTAACGCCAATCAGCGTAGCGAAAGTACGAGTTAGATTTTATTGAAAATAAAATAAAATGTAACAGTGAAAGTGTGCAGAGCCAGGAGGAGACTCAGAAAAGGAATCGGATATGCTTGCCCCAACATTAAAAAATGATTACCATACACAGGCGATTTCTTCATTACGAGGGATAAGAGGTAAAATTAACATGAGCCGATACCAAGGAAATACCCTCGGACGGATAAGCACGCAGTCAAGCTGACGAAAACACGGGATGTAACGTGTAAGCGAGGATTCTGACCCAGAGTCGCAGCAGGAATCTCGTAATTACCTCAGAGATATCCCTATGAGACATTGCTTAAGACGAGCTAGTAGCATTCTCTGGCATGGGCATCATCTGCGGCACGCTGGTACGAAGATCAGGCCGCAGGATTGAACGTGCGGACACCTCTTTCTCGCCGTTCCTCTCTCTCTCTCTCTCTCCTTCTCGCCCGCACGAGACGGGACTTACCGCTCTCGGCACCTTCCCTCGACGTCCGCTCGCCAACTAAATCTCTGCGTGTACGCGCGTTACATTGTTTCACCGCGCGCGAGCGGTAATAAGGGGGTTTCTTTTCGCTAGAACGGGCAAATGGGACCGATTAATAAAAAAGGAGGGAGGCAGGCGTCTTAGGGGGGCACCCACTGCATTCCTCAGGCACAGCCATCTTGGAATGTGACCCCGGGTCCCCCCGTCGGGCCCAGAGCGGGGCCGGCACTGCTGCCTGCCGCCTGCCCGGTGCTGTTTGCTTCTTCTATGCGCTCCATTCCTCTCCTCCTCTCCTCCTCTCCTCCTCCTCCTCCTCCTCCTCCTTCTCCTCCTCCTTCTCCTCCTCCTCGCCGGGCCCTCGATGGGGCCCCGGTCGTGTGTTGCCCCGCTCGTTTCTGCAACACCATCATCAGCATACGAGCGTGTAAAATGAGCGGGCGCACGCACACACACGCGGTAACGTGTGGGCCACGCGCGCCAAGATACGTCGATCCGCGACGGGCCCAGACGGGCCCCGGTGCGCTGTGCCTCGCAGGCGGCAGCCGCTCCGCATCTCGCGCCTCGAGTATCAAAGGGGGACCCTTCCGTCCACCGGGGCCGTCCCGCTTCGCAGGTCCCATGTAGATGCGTTAATTAACTTGAGACCTCGGGGAGGATCCGCCGGGGGAACAATCGGACGCTCCTCGAGCTCTTTGAGATCTCCGCGTTAACCGGAGATACCGTTATGACACGGGATACCCTGTGTGTGCATATACGTAAAAATGTAAATGACCGGAGATCATTATCCCGCGGCGAGAGGGAAAGTTGTATCGATGCTGATGATTAAGGACTATGACTTTTGACGCATATAATGAATAATCAATGTAATTTACATTCGACTTTTCGATTAGCTCGCGAAGATCGATCAGTGTAAATGTTACCTTTGATCCGCCACGTGTCGAGCGCAAGCTGTTTTTGCATTCACGATTATACGTGCTGGAAAGTCACCTGCTGCGAGATAAGCTCTTAATATGAGGTGGCAGGGTTTCTGCTGAATTAATAGGCATCGTCTGTTGGTTTTATCGTGAATTTTTCGTTCTTGAGGTGAAATCTGTTCGGTGGCAAATTCATTGTTAGATCGTGCAATTGTTGTAAAAGAAGATTCGTGATTGAATTGGAACATTGAAAACCTGTTAGCTCATAATAGAGGACCTTCCTCCGTTTTCTAGACATCGAAATGAAGGCGGAAAGCCGAGCGAGCGTTTTAAAAAAGAAAGATTATTTTTAAAGAGTCCTGGAGCTCTGCCAGATGTGCTAAAAAAAAAAAAAACTGCGCTATTGAGAACGAGATATCGACACGCATTGGAAAATCCATTGGCTACTGGCTAAAAATCCAGAGCTATTATTTTTATATTCTGCTCATCGGAAGATCGCATGTCAAGGAAAACTAAATACAAAAATTACCTTAAACATTTTTTTTTATTAACATACATTCTTCTATACTTATCTCTGCAACACTCTAATGTAGTTCTCGGACGCGAGAAGTGATTCGAAATTAAAATCGTTGGAAAGCTTTCCTCGTTCTATAAACCTGCGCTATAACTTTCTGTACAAAATTGTACACAAATATATTATGTATATATAAATACATGTGTCTATGTATTGGTATATGTATACGCTATATATCTATCGTACACGTACTACTTCCTTACACGTCGTAAAAACGACACTCTCGTATTTATATCTTGGACTGAGATTGCAGGAATGTAACGTCGTTGCAGAATGTTGTGTACTCTATAACGCTAAATCGAGGTAATTCACGACAAAAATTCAACGGGTTTTCGACAAAGTTAATATGATTTTTGTGCATCGCACATTGTGTAAATGCAATTGAAATCGGAGGTAGTTGCGTCACACAGCTGTGCCATGCAAAATGAACACCCAAATCTTTTTCTCGTAAACGTAAAATCAATCATTGTCAAAAAGATGCGTTCGCGACACATTTGCTCGTGATCTTTGATATATATATTATATATCAAATATATTAATATATATATAGCTGCCACAGACATCATCATTGGATATGGGTTCTCTTATCGCATACATCTTAAATTAGAATATAAATAAATTCTAAAAAAAATACATTGTACAAATACGCTTGTAAAAAGTACGTCAACGATGAAAGCAATATTTGTAAAATCTGAGAAAGTGTATCGTGTATGTACAAAATGCGACAGACCTAGGGCCATACTTTGTTGAAAAGTTCCATGAAGGAATCATAAATCATGAACGTAATGGCAACGTCTAAGCACACTCTGCCCAATCGCGGAATGGTTCCCTTGTAAAATGCCATTGGACCCTCTTTCTTCCACACTTGAACCACGCAGTCCATACTGCTCTTGTACTTCGCAGCTTCCAATCCCTAAACGGATTCAGAATAAAAAGTTTAATGGAATTGCGATGAGCGTAGGTCGTCAATCGCATAAATACGCGCGAGAGGCGCATACCTGCATCCTAGTTTTTATGACGTCGACAGGCGTGTTCCCGAAAACTGATGCTGCGCCAGCAACCGCGCCGAACGCACCGACGACCACTTTAGGAACATTTTTGGTATTGTCACCTCCTTTGTACCAGTCTTTTAACGTTTCCATCACGAAGAAACGGATGGCTTGGTTAGATCCTTGCTTCAAGATTGTGGGCATTACTCCCTGATATACTCCTTTAAAGCCTACGTAGAAAAAAGTCAACAAATATAATTGCATTGTGTTAACGTTTAAAATCATTTCGGCAAACGAAATTATTTTAAGACACGAATGTCTTGACGCATACAAATGCTGTTATCTATTGTACATACATTTGAAATCCTAATTAAATATAATTTAATTTTGTTTTTTAACATTTTTATACGATTATTATTTGTCATGAAAACGAAGTCAAGTTTATTTCGCAGCTGTGCTGTAATAAACGGACTGTGTAAGCATGTGTTGCAATCTGACCCAGTTAAACAAGTTGCAGCTCTTATCTGGATTTCTGGTCAAACTGTACTTATTTAATAAATTTCTCCATAATTTTATAATACGTGTCTCCTACAACGTGTCTCCTACAACTCGACTGCAATTCACATGTATTCCATTTTTAATTGACAAGACCACGAATTAATAACAAGTAAAATGCTCTCCGTGTACTTGAACTCGTCTTACCGTGTTCCCTCACAATCATGCGTACACCGTGGAAAAATCCTTTAAATCTCGGATTCGCCGAACGCTGATCGTTGATGAATTTCACCTTGACGGTTTCCATCGGGGTGACCGCGAAGATGGCCTCGCATACCCCGGCGCAGAGGCCGGCGAGGAGTCGCCTTTGCGGATTGAGCTTGCCATCCGCGTCCACCAATCGGTTCTTCACCGACTCGAAGGCGCCAAATCGCACCGCCGACTTCGGTATGGAGCCGTAAAGTAGAACAGACAGGCCTCGATACAGGCCGAAGAATCCGCGGGTCTTGACGGTCTTGGTGACGCAGTCGGCTATTCCCGTGTACTCTTTGCCGGCGCCGGCTTTTCCGTCCAGCTGCAGCTGCGTTTTCACATATTCAGTGGGATACGTGATGCAAATTTCTATGCCTCCGGTAATGCCACCTGGAAAACAATTGTATTCTCAATTCTTATTTGTAAACGCAGCAATGGTACACATATACATGTAAGCGTGTGCATGCGCTATTAAAGTCTTGCTGAAAAACCCAGATACCCAGTGTGAGCGCAAGTTGCTTTCATCTCGCTATGCATCTATATAGTCTATTGTGCTGTTGTTTGCTAGCGTTTGATGTCGGAAATGAAAAATTTGCATGATCTCAAACATTATGCTAGCATTAAGTGTCTGGCCAGATGTAATAGACATATATCATGTTTATATAAGTTAGAAAATTTAAAACAATGTATGCCAACTCTTTGTTAAATGTATGCCCATTCGATGTGTTTTCCCTTTAGCTGTACATTTAACTGCGACAATACGTTAACATTATGCTAATTGTGCTTAAATCACGCCAACATTGAATTCATATTCCTAGTGAAGAGCATCAGCTGCTGGCATTTTATTTCCATACATTGCTTGAGCATACTGGCTATCCGAGTTAAGCGACTGCTTTTAAATGATCCGAAGAATTAAAATGCCATTGAAAAGCAGAGGTAAGAGATCGTGCAATTTCGGCGCGCAAAAAAAAACAGTATGAAAATACAATTGCATCTTATTCTATAATTAAACGCGTCTCTCTTTCCTCAATTGAGTTCCATTGGTACACGTCCACGGCCGTCAGCTCGTTAAATCGTTTACGCAGAGCTGGAAGTCGTCGCGTAAAGCGGCCGTAATTCGCGGTCTCCACTACCATAGAAATTCAGATAAACGCGATGACCTTGCGGCCGGAGAGACACGCAGATATCCGCATACACGCGCGCGTAATCGCGCGAGATCGCGATCGCGCGATCCCCCGTGTTATCGTACTATTTGCCGGAGTGCACTGACTCCGAAAAGGAAAAAAAAATAGGGGGAAGGGGGTCGGCTCTCGTGCACGTTTCCGCGTGACGTGGTGCACCCAGACAGGTGTCAAAGGTCGGCGGGTCACGGACGATCGCGCGCCCGAGCGAGAGAGAGAGAACGCCTCTCTCTCGTTCTCTCCGCGCGGGAGCGACGAGGCCGGAGCGAGACGGAGTAAACGTACCGGCTATGACCCCTTTGAGGCCCAGGTTGCCGGAGGCGGCGACGGCGGCGGCGACGCCGGTCTCGCTCGTCCACGGTCTGCGTGGAAACAGCAGCGGACCGCGGCACGCGCTTGCCAGCGATCGCTGCTGCTGCTGCTGCTGCCTCGTCAGGTCCATGCTCGGCGCACAAAATGCTGTAAACGTGCTCCACGCGCTGCCGCCGCTCGACACCACCTACGCCGCTGGACACCGCCGTGGCTGGACTGCCAGCGAATTGACACTCATGTGTGTGTCCAGACGAGCGCGTAACGCACCGGTTTCCCCCATATTTTCCCCCTTCCGCGATCGGCGGGCGACGTCGCCTCGTTTGACGTTGCTGCTTCACCTTGCCTTTGCCCTGTCTTGCCTTGCCCTGCCTCGCTCGTTACGCATGGATCATGATGCGCACGCACACACACACACACACGGGACGACCACCAGGATGACAGGGATCTGCTGAATTAATCGCGCTTGCTCTCGCGCACGCACTCTCTTCTTTTTCTCTATATTTAAAATGAGACAAAATAAATGTTTATGCTTTGGAAGGGAACCGCGTGAAGATGTAAAAAATAAAAAGGGAGGATAACAGACCTCTCACATTAGGCTTGTTTTCTGTTCCTACACTGGTAAACTAGTGCAAAAATTAATACAAATTGGAGTAAGGCAAGCATATTTCTTTCTCATTCTAGCTTACTGCACTAGTTAACCAGTGCAGGAACAGAAAACAAACCTACTGTATTCACCGTTCAATATCTTCTTCGAACATTTACCAAGTCATTTACCTTTCTTGTGTATGTTTGAATTATAATGTTAAATTATTTCGCGTAATATCATATATTACACATGTATATCTCTGAAAGAATCACATCTTTGAAGTTCGAGTGTGAAGAATATCTCAGGTAAAAGTTGAAGCGCGATGACACACATTTCTTGAAATAAAAATCAGATGTGTATATGTAGGTAGTCGCAGGACTGTAACGAGAACTTGAGCTTGAGAAAAAGCGATCGTCGACAGCTACGTCAATAACTATCAAGCGTTCAAAACAATTGCTAAAACTTGCTCCGTGATCGAGTTTACGTGTACGCGGCGAAAAGGAGCGTGGGCGTGCTAAAAGATATTATAAAAATAAAAGAGCTAAGACTGAACCATAGAAAATATTTTGGCGAGGGCACCAGTCGAGTCTATTGCGGCCCTACCGGCGCGAGTCCATAGTCCAGGGCTGAATACAGGAGCGCCTCGTCACGGAATCGATTACCTCCGTCTTCGTCCAAATTCTTCAGAAAGTAGAGTATCGTGTTACGTTTGCATAAATGGAGAAAGGATATCGTAACAAAGTCAAAGCTGTAACCAACTACTTTACATTCCGATTCGTCCGCCGAAAGTCGCCCATAAATCTCGAGACGTCTCTCTTTTTCATTCAAGTTTTCGTTTTCCATTCAATCCGTTCGATCGGTATAATGAGATGCCGACCGCCACGACTAATGAGCTGTCGAAATGTTAGATAATTCCCCGACACGTGCTTTGCGACGATCATGTGATCATAAACGAGGTACAATCACGTGGTCTGTTATCTCGTCGTACAATTGCAGCCGACTATAACAAATAATTGCGGCATTGTAATAAGTTTTGCAACGCAAGACATAATCCAAATAAAATATTCAAGATATATTCGATGTAATATATAATTTTCACATATGAAACGATTTTAATTGCATTTCTTACTATATTATATAAGATTGCGTCACAGTCAGCTGTTATCAAACTTCGATTAGTGTTACGCGATATGTACGTGTCAATAACGTTGTTGATATCGTACCATGTTTCGTAAGACAACATTCGTCACACACAATGACACAAACAAGTTGCCTGTTGTCACGTATAATAAATTAAATTGGAAAGATATTCAATATACATATAAAAATGAAAAAAGTAGACTCTAAATTGAAGAATGACTCATTGGATTTGGAATATTCTGTATACAAGAACGTTCCATAAGCAATGATGACTGATTACGTAGTTACATTAACTTTTTGTTCAACAAATGCAACCATATATCTGTTATTTTTACAAATAGTTACTTCCGCATATTTCATACTCTACGATGGTATCTTATTAGAAATTGATACTTATAAATCTTATAAATACGAGGACACACTAAAAAATTAGGATGGTTCTGGGTGACAAATGTAATGGTATACAATTTCTTTCTCAAGATGTGGTTTTTTACCAGCCAGGTGTCGTGTTTGCTAAACGTCGCATACGTCTGCAAGAAGGAAACAGACGGTCAATCAAGAGCACATACACAATAAAGTTAACGTTTACCTCTGCAAGATTCATTTCTTACCGAGTATTTCGATCTTGATCGCGTATCTTCTTTTCCATCTCCGCGTCTGTTAGTGTTTCTAAGAACGGCGCCCATTGATCGGCCTCTGACGGAGGTCTAAAGGGGACTTCTACGGTTGGCAGAGGTGCTTCAGAAAACGCGTACGTTCTTTGATGCCACGATAATTGCCCGCGCACACTGCAAACGTAAATGTTGGGATCATTTCTATATTATTATTTGGATAATAATCGATGTGATATATCAACTGCGTACACAATAACAATTTCCCAATGCGATATAAAGTTACATAATAATATTAGTGCATATCCATAATTTGAGTATCCAAAGTAGCTAATAGAAGAAAGTCCTCTATCATGAGATAGATTTCTAATATGAGATAGCAGGTTTTCAACACCCAAATTCAATCACAAATCTTTTTTCGTCACGATTACACAATCTAACAATAAAATTTTCCACTAAACAGATTTCGTTCCAAGGACAATAAATTCATAGTAGACTCAACTGTTGAATGCCTATTAATTTAATAGAACCCCGCTATCTCTTATTAGGATCTCATAATAGAGGACTTTCCTCTACTTGTAGCGAATTCGTTTGCGTGTACTAGTACACGCTGAGTGCACACTGAAGCTTGTTTATAATCAATTCTTACATTTAACTTTGTCTTAAATACATGTTCAAAGAGTATTTAGCCAAAAAATGATCCGTATGGATGCTATGCAGATCATTTTACTGGTTGATAAATATTTCAAGAGACATTTAAGGCGAGCCTTAAATATCAGAATTGACTGTAAACAAGCCTTAGTATGAACTCGCAATCAGTGTGCACTAGGGCAAGCAACCACATTCGCTATTCAACTTTATTCGTTTTTGAAACAAATACAATCCTAATAATTTCAGTAATATTATAAAAATACTATGTCGCTTTACACGAAGCAATGACGAAATTACACAGTAAGGCCCGTAGTCTGAATCCTCTCTTATCGAGCGCTGCTAAAAGTGGCTTGTAGCCAATCGAAAGACTTACTAGCCACTTTTAGAGGCGCTTTTATCGATAAAAGAGGATTCAGAACACGGGCCTAAGATTCGTTGATTCACCTGTAAGCGATGGCGGTGACAAACTCTCCGCCGAGGCCAAGCTCCGCACACAGCTTCATCGCAAACTTTTCTGGATTGTTCTCCCTTTCAGACATGTCCCATTCAACCTGGTCTACCAAAGAGGTGTTGCCCACGTGTATATTTAATTTAATTATCACTCTCTGATCGCACTGATCTTCCAGAATCGTCTCCTGAGGGAACGCTTCTATTTGCTGCCGTATCGCCTGCGCGATCGCAGGGACAAAGGTCAACGGATTTAAGTCTAAATCGTCGCACAGCACTTCGGCAAATTGCTCGGGCGTTATGAGACTCTCTGCGAAGCAAAAAAAGACTCGTTACAATTCGTAAAGTCTTGTCGCCGTCGGATATAAGAGTACGTACCATTTTTATTCCAAGTAAAAGTGTCCCTCAACTTCTGGCCTTCAATTTCCATGTCTAAGCGTATTGGGACCAGCATTTCCTGTTGCGCCGCGTTCTCCAGGTTCGCTGACGGGTCCGTATCGTCGAAACTACACGGTGAAAATAAAATAAGAGCGTCACAGCTTTGCCGCAAATAGATCTCCATGCAGAATCCAGCTGTACTTTCTCGCTTACCACAACGGAAACGTCCTAACTTTCTTATTGTGCACTCTGTTGCGATTTATCGGCGTGGCCTGCGGAACCGCGTCCAGGTGCGAACTGTTGGGCAGGCTGGGCACCCATGCCATCGACTTTTTGGATTTACCTTCTCTAGGCGCCGGTGGCTCGGTCGAGTGCACGGACACGGCTTTGTACTTGTCGTCGTTACCCTCGATAATGTCCTCCACCTCGCTGGCTCGCAGCAGCGAGACGCTGGACGCGAGAACATGCTGACTCAGCCCGAGCTCCACCAGCTTCTTACGCTCGTCGTTGGTAATGGATCTCCTGAACATGCCAGGATACCGCTTGTACAGGGACCCGCGGAAGAGGCGCAGGTAATTGCCGACCTCCGACCCGATGCAGTAATACTCGCCATTCTCCTCTACTTGGAAACTTATCGGCTTGTCTCCGTAGGTGCGTAACGCCATTTTAAGGGGCTACTTGCGCTGTAATCAGCAAAACACACGGGTCAAACGGGCATCTACAGAAATACAAGGCGAGCAACACACTCGGCGCAATCGCGTCGACGGATTACAGAAATGTACTCTGTGTAGAAACCAGTTTATTTATTCGCCAGGTTTACCCGGGCTCTATCTTCCTGTTAAATCCGACGCGTGCGATGCGGCGAGTTTACAAAGATCAGCACGGCGATTCAATGTTCATCGCGAGCAGCGTAAGATGAACAATTGTCGAGAAGCCGCAGGGAGCGTTTATCGCAATGAATACTCTCGGACAATCCCCACCGATCGCGGCCTCTCTTTGTCGTACCTGGGAGCAGAGGTAAGTCATTCACTCGCGTCTACAAGCTCTCATAGACTCTCCTCTCCACGCACGTTTGTTTACGTTTCCCTGAAAACAGACTAGACGCCCGGAATCCGCCAGAGGAGGTATCAGATTTAATCTTTTTTCTTATCAAAGTAAACGAAAGTGTAGAGAGAGAGGCGGACGTACGGTGCATTCAGCGCCGGTAATCCCATTCGTCGGATTTGACCTGCAGGCGAACTCGCAATCGTGTGTAGGCGCGTTTCCATTGAGCGTCTCAAGCCTATTAAGCCTATCACACAATGCCAGGCAACAGGCAACAGGAACAGGGAACAGAATTTCTGACGTGTTGGATTGGTTGGACGAAAATTTTCGACGAATCCAACGCGTCAAAAATTCTATTCCCTATTCCTATTGCCTGTTGCCTGGTATTGTGTGATAGGCTTTACACAATGCCAGGCAACAGGCGACAGGAACAGGGAATATAATTTCTGACGCGTTGGATTCGTCGGAAATTTTCTTCCAACCAATCCAACGCGTTAGAAATTATATTCCCTGTTCCTGTTGCCTGGTATTGTGTGATAGGCTTTAAGCCTATCACACAATGCCAGGCAACAGGCAATAGGAATAGAGAATAGAATTTTTGACGCGTTGGATTCGTCGGAAATTTTCTTCCAACCAATCCAACGCGTCAAAAATTCTATTCCCTGTTCCTATTGCCTGTGCTTTCCTATTGTGTGATAGGCTTTACCGTTTTCGCTCGACTGATTCCAGCGCTTTACGCCTATTTTCATTTTTGGAACTATTTTGCTGTGCATCTTCTGACACTGCCGATAAAGTCACCACTTAGTGCGTGTCCGTGCTACGCCTATTTTTCAGGATTGTGCTGTGAAATTCAAAATTACATTAACATAAATTATCTGCACGATATTTACATCACTTTTTCTCACGTGGACAATGTAAATTTTATAAATTAGACGTCGGAATGCATAGCACAGACATGCACCAAGTGGAAATTTTATCGGCAGAGTCAGAAAATGCGCGATAAAATAGTTCCAAAGGTAAAAATGGGCGTGAGGGCGCGCAAAACAGTCTCCCGAAACGGCGTTAAGTAAAACGCGCGCCCCGGCGTGGCCGCTCTCAGGTTTCTCCCTGTTCGGAGCACGGGCTCGCGATAACGCGGACCTAACGCCGAGTGCACACGCGCGCATCCCACCGGCCGGGATCAGCCAATCGCGGTAGAGTCGCTTATCGATAACTGGGAAACGGCGGCCCGTGACGTGACACCTCTCCCCGATACATGTGCGCGAGGCCTGCGGGGCCCGTGAATGCCCGTGTGACAGCCCGTGTCGGTAAGTGTCAGAAGGTGCCCCGGTGTATCGCGGCGTCGCACGCATAACAGAGGCGCGAGGTTTCCCGGGGGGCGGACGACGTCTCCCATCTCGGTTCGCGGATACAATCGTTCGATCCGTCTCGCCCCTTCTCCCCGCCGCAGCCGTCAGTCGCTGGTAAATAGACAGGTAATTAATGAGGCACGGCGCGAGCAGCCGCGGCGGTCACGCTCTCCAGATGCAACCGTTCGAGATCCTACGTAAATGTTACAATATGCCTTTTCTACTCCACTCTCTCTCTCTTTTATCTCTCTTTCGCGCGAGCGCGCGCGCGCGCCACGCCGCTCTCGCTTATCTCGCCTCCGCGGCCCCCGCGAGTGTCCGTTTTCCCCGACTCCGAGGCGTCTCCGCGTTAAAATGACAGGCCTCGGCTTGCCTGGCGGCAGAGTTAGCGCTACGGCACTATAGATTCTGGACATTGATCCAGTCCCGGGCTCGCTCTATATAGCGAAATCTTATTTAATTTCACTGCAGACGTCTCTCTCTCTCCCCCCCCCCCTCTCTCTTTCTCTCTCCGGTTTGCAGAAGTCTATTGCCGCTCCTCTGCTCTTCCGCCAGATTTCACAACTTTGACCTGATAGTCGGCTTGGCGTTATTAGACTGTAGCTACGTCCGGCGGTTAATTAAAATTCAATTTCATGAAACGAGATTTGTACAGCACTAACGATTATTCGTTGTCTTGCTAAAGAAACAATGCGAGAGATTGTTAGACGCGATTAGACAGTCACCCGAGACCTCCGATTATAAAGATGTAAGGCTCGTTTTTTCTATCGCTGCACTAGTGAACCAGTAAGCTAGAATGTGAAAAAATAGACCTGTCCTGCTCCAATTATTGCCAGTTAAAAACTGGAGGAGATTAGATAAGAGTCGGCGATAGTCCCGTATAAGCGACATTAGCGATTCCGAATGTCCTCAAAGAGACTGCAAATTCACACGATTACGTCCTGTTACACGCAGACAAGATGACGGATTCCAAGTATTTTACCACTACGAAGAAGGGCGAGATATTCGAGCTCAAGTCGGAGCTGAACAATGAGAAGAAGGAGAAGAAGAAGGAAGCCGTGAAGAAGGTAAATAAAAAGGATCCGCTTAAACCTTTTCCCCCCCGAGATGCAATAACTTTGACCTCGCTAGCTGATACCTCAATGTCGAGCGAACAGTAAGCATTTTCGCGCGGAGCACTCGTGTAGAAGGTAATTTGTATGTTATCCAGGTAAGTCGCCAAATCTAAGACATAGGCACTCGAGTTTTAGACCCAGTCTGCAATGAGTTGTTAAGCAGAGGAATCAGAATTATACGTCGGTCCTGTTTCTTTCTGGGCGAAAGAAAAGCTTTGACTTCTGACTAACGACTGACAACTCATTGTACACCAGGCCTTACAGTTTCGACCATTTCTTTCTACAGGAGTACTTCTCGTGTGTGTAATACTCTTCCTATTTTAGGTTTAATAATTTCCCGATTACGCAATCCTTGAATTTCTATTAAGAATCTGTATACCGTAGATGAACAACACTTTGCTGTATTTAATTGCTTTGAAGGCAAGAATTAAGGAAGTAATGCATCAGCAGCATGCAATCTAGCGAAATGTGTTTGTCCATGATTGCATCACTGTGCCTCTTCTAGTCAAGTGTACAATAGCAGTTACTCAGACGTTAAATGCCTCCTTCTGGAAACTGGAGAACGAGATCAATTGATTTTAATGACAAATGGCAGACCTGTATCGTTGATATTTTCATTGTTGTGTGTGTCGCGACGACGTTGAAGCGTTTACCATTTAATGACGCGGGTGCGTCGTTGACTGTCTGTCCAGGTGATCGCTTCCATGACAGTTGGGAAAGACGTGTCCGCGCTGTTTCCCGACGTGGTGAACTGCATGCAGACCGACAATCTGGAACTGAAGAAGCTGGTGTACCTGTACCTGATGAACTACGCCAAGAGCCAACCCGACATGGCCATCATGGCGGTCAACACGTTCGTCAAGGTAACGTAGCTTAGAAACTCGCCATTTAATTCATCACAATTTTACTATATATATATATATCTATATATATAGCACCTTTACCCTCTTACATATTTCTTAATGACACTTGGATGATGTTCAGAGTCTGTCTGTAACGAGAGAGGCAAACTTGAGAGTTGCCCGTGGTCGTTGTATTCTCGATGAGACGGCCGTCTCGGAAATTGTAAATACAATCTCCCGTCCGGATATCATCCTCGCTGTGTTACAATTTTACAGCGTGTGCCTCGCACTGCATACAGACTGTGCTTTGCAAATTACAGTTTGCACAGAGCTGTCTGCGTTATGGGACGGAATGTAACTTTTTCGTTCATTACGACTGGAATTGTTTGTTTTTCAAAGGGCACGGGTCTGGATTTTGGTTGCTCCAACACTCGAGTTTAATAACGAAAAAAAAAAACAAAGGCCAAGTTACCTTCTGGACGATGGATAACGCGATACGCGGTAAAGTCTTTTTCTTCCCCCCCGCCTCTTCGTAACGTCTTCGTTACGGAACCAAATTCCAGAATGTAGGCATTTTGCTAATACGTGTGTATCCATGATAAATGATTGGCCTGTCGAAATTGACAGAGCGATTTAATATCTCGTTATTCTTCTCACACTAATGCACTGATACATACATCTTGTCTCTCCCGGAATTGAGCATGTAACTTTTCTTCGAGAAATCACGCAATTTTTAATCTACATGCGAAACGCTTCAAGCAACAATGCATATTCTTTACCGTGCTGTTTATTTTTGTCTACAATAGTAAATTGATTCCTACATCGCAGTTGTGCGATACGAGTTTCGAATCGAGGATTAATAGATTCGAACGCTAATCTCTTACTCACGTGAATTTCTAATGTGCAGCAGCATGAAAATTGTGATTCCTTAAATGTTTATCTTATACGTATGTTATTGCATCACCAATCGGTGCTTGTATAAGGATAATATTTACTAATTGCACGCAATTTGTATTATATTCAAAATTTCAGTGTATCTGATGAATGTAATTCGTGTTACAAACTTAAAATATCCCATAATGCGATTAATATAAATATATTTGTAAATATATACTTATATATATATATATACAATATACAATATATGTTAGATGATATACCGTTTAAGTTATTTCTATTTGCATGGCGCTAACATTGATGTAACACAGTTCTTGATTCTTTACTCGCAAAGCTACGCCGCAACGATTGTAAAGAAAGAGAGAAAGAACTAACGAAAAATGATACCTCGTGCTCTTTAAAAAATGATCAGTTCTCGATTACACACTACTTTAAATGGCTGATAAGTATAGTATTTAACATTTTAATAAAAAATGGTGACGGTGACCAATTTGACCTTTTTCGTTCTGACACGCAAAAGGAGCTAGCGACATCTCCGATGACAAAGGTACCAATGCCACTTTCTACTTTGTTAAAGTTCATGGGTTGAGATAGATAGCCACTACTGTGACTAGACTTGAATCCCTGGCTTGCCCGATTTTTGCGCAGGACTGCGAAGACCCGAATCCGCTGATACGCGCGCTAGCAGTTCGCACGATGGGCTGTATACGTGTCGACAAGATAACCGAGTATCTGTGCGAGCCGCTGCGCAAGTGCCTGAAGGACGAGGACCCGTATGTGCGCAAGACCGCAGCCGTGTGCGTCGCTAAACTTTATGACATTAACGCGGCCTTGGTCGAGGACCAGGGGTTCCTGGATCAGTTGAAGGATCTCCTGTCCGACAGCAATCCAATGGTAGGTCCCTTCTCTCTCTCTCTCATATCACAGAGCTTGTCTAACTGAAATCATGTAACAAATGTCTTAGAATCTGACTATTTATACAAATATTTGATAAAATAGTTGTTAGAAGCTGTAACAGAGCAAAGGCAATTTTTACTAAGAGGAAAAGATAATTTATTGTTACCTGAAAATAATGACACTGCAGATGATGCATGTATGTTATTAGGTTGTCGCAAATGCGGTAGCTGCTCTGTCTGAGATCAACGAGGCCAGTCCGAGCGGTCAACCATTGGTAGAAATGAACGCGCAGACTATAAACAAGTTGCTGACAGCGCTCAACGAGTGCACGGAATGGGGCCAAGTTTTCATCCTGGATTCACTGGCGAACTACTCGCCCAAAGACGACCGCGAGGCACAAAGCATTTGCGAACGCATCACTCCACGTCTGGCCCACGCTAACGCTGCAGTCGTGCTTTCTGCTGTCAAAGTAAATACAGATAAATGACTGGTCCGGAAGACGAATGCGATTAGCCCTGTCTTGTACGATTTATCGAAATTTCTTTATAATATTAGCATCAAAATCTAACAAGTACATGGGCTCGTCAATTTCTTCTCTCCTTTAAATTTATTTTCAAGTCTTCGCTGACGAAGAGATAATTTGATATTAATCGAATGTACACGTTTCAGGTATTAATGAAATTGATGGAGATGCTGCAGTCAGAGTCCGATTTTGTCGGCACACTTACGAAGAAATTGGCGCCTCCCCTCGTCACGTTATTGAGCTCCGAACCGGAGGTTCAGTACGTCGCATTGAGGAACATCAATCTCATTGTGCAGAAGCGACCAGATATTCTGAAGCACGAGATGAAAGTATTCTTCGTCAAGTACAACGATCCCATTTACGTAAAATTGGAGAAGCTGGACATTATGATTCGTTTAGCGTCGCAGGCCAACATCGCACAAGTCCTGTCGGAGCTGAAGGAATACGCCACCGAAGTCGACGTGGATTTCGTTAGGAAAGCTGTGAGGGCCATCGGTCGCTGCGCCATAAAAGTTGAGCCATCCGCGGAGCGCTGCGTCTCCACGTTACTGGACCTGATACAAACGAAAGTAATTAAATAAAAGATATCAACTTCTGAAATGGAATATCAAATTTTGGAGTGTACCTTTAATGTTTTAATATATAATATTTCAAGTGTTTTCTATATCGAAATTTAATCTTAAAAATTGGTCGATCATTGATTAATTGATACTTGTAATTTTTCTCAGGTGAATTACGTCGTTCAAGAAGCAATTGTGGTAATAAAAGACATCTTCCGCAAGTACCCTAACAAGTACGAAAGCATAATTTCAACTCTATGCGAAAATCTCGACACTCTCGACGAGCCTGAAGCGCGTGCCTCCATGATATGGATTATTGGAGAATACGCGGAGCGTATCGACAACGCTGATGAATTGCTGGAGAGCTTCCTGGAGGGATTCCACGACGAAAATACGCAGGTGCAGCTGCAGTTGCTCACCGCGATTGTCAAACTGTTCCTCAAGAGGCCCACGGACACGCAGGAGTTGGTTCAGCAGGTGCTCAGCCTGGCCACGCAGGATTCCGATAATCCCGATCTGCGAGACCGCGGTTTCATCTACTGGCGGCTGCTCAGCACCGATCCGGCAGCCGCCAAGGAGGTGGTGCTCGCGGAGAAGCCTCTAATCTCGGAGGAGACGGATCTGCTGGAGCCGACATTGTTGGACGAATTGATTTGCCATATCTCGAGCTTGGCGTCCGTGTATCACAAACCACCCACGGCGTTCGTGGAAGGCAGAGCGGCTGGCGCTAGGAAGTCGTTGCCCGCTAGAAGCAACTCGAACGAGGACCGCACAACCGCACAACCCCATGCTGCGCAGGTCATACCCGCTCAGGACTCCCTGATCGGCGATCTCCTTAGCATGGATATCGGTGAGCAGGTCCTAAAAGTAAAATTAAAGTTAGAAAATTGAACTGTAGTAATAAATATTTAAAAATATTATATAATGTGCAAATGTCCCGGTTGTTTCAAATTATAAGCGTTCTTTCTTATTTATTTTATATCGCGGGTAAAAATTTATCATACTCACTTGTTCTGTTCCAGGTGGACCAGCAATGGTCACACCTGCGCCCGCGCCACAGTCCACGGGACTAGGGCTGGATCTTCTGGGCGGTGGTCTCGATGGGATCCTGAACGACAACACGACTGCGCCAGCAGCTGTTTCCCAGAGCACAACCGGTCTGCTTGGCGACATATTCGGCTTCAGCCAAGGTCCCACGCCTTACATATCTCCCAAAGTTAACTGGCTACCAGCCGAAAAGGGCAAAGGCTTCGATATCTGGGGCACGTTCTCGAGAAAGTAATTAATGCAGTGCGATACGTACGATACGTTAACGAGTACAGAGGACATGCGATACGCAGCCCCTCGATTGCAAATAATTTATACTGCGTAAAAATGTGTCGTAGGAATGGGCAGATTAGCATGGACTTGACCTTCACGAACAAAGCGATGCAACCTATGGGAGGATTCGCGATACAGCTCAACAAGAACAGCTTCGGATTGACGCCAGCGACCCCGTTGCAAGTGCCAGCTCCCCTAAGCCCCGGATCCAGTATAGAAGCGAACGTTATACTGTCCACTGCTGGTGCGGTGCAACGCATGGATCCTTTGAACAATCTTCAGGTTGCTATCAAAAACAACATCGACGTGTTCTACTTCGCGTGTCTCGTGCCTATGAATGTGTACTTTGCGGAAGATGGACAGCTGGACAAGAGGGTGTTCCTCTCTACCTGGAAAGATATACCCGCACAAAATGAGGTATCGCTTGTCTGCTTTTCTTCCATATCGAAAAATGAATTGCTAGACTCATTGATAGAGGAATAGGAATCCTTCACGAGACATATCTCGCGCTTGCAGGTACAATATACGCTAAACGGAGTGATGTTGACCGCGGATCAAGTGGTGCAAAAGATGCAACAGAATAACGTCTTCACAATCGCCAAGAGGAACGTGGAGGGACAGGATATGCTTTATCAGTCTCTCAAGCTGACGAACAATGTCTGGGTACTGAACGAGTTGAAGATTCAGCCAGGCAATCCCGACGTCACGGTACGTTTCAGTGCAGAGCGTCACGTTTATATCTTTCCAACACTCTGTTATCTTTGAAGCTGGAAATTATTTAGAAACATGTATTCAGTTGTAAGTTTGTACGTCAATGTAATCTTATCTTTTAGCTACCAGTTATGAAGTAATTGCCTGGAAAGATTGTTATAATGAGATACTTTATACATCTTAAGGCCTGTATCTATAATGCTAGAACTAGTCCAAGTTCCAGCATCTGACACAGGCCTTTACATTTGTTTCAAATTTATGTCATTGTGAATTTTCCATTACTTATAATCGTCCTCTTCTTTTTTCGTTGCAGCTGTCCCTGAAATCTCGGTCCGTAGAAGTCGCCTCTGGAGTATTTCAAGCGTACAATGCGATTTTACATTCTTAAGTTGTCTCCTTTCTCGTCAACTAGGATAGGATATGATATTGCTCTAAGATGCGAATTATAAAAGACAAATACGCGAGCATGCGCAGCAGCTTATATATAGAAAGCTATCTATATACATCCGCATGAGGCTCGAGAGTCATCTTGGAAACACAGTGCTATACAGGAATCTCTGTTACAGATTGCCGAATTTATTATAAAAACGACCATGGGCGTGTATGCAAATAAAGAGAAATAAAGATTTATGATCACGTCTATGTCCTCATTTGTATTTTATATGTAAAAGATAGCATGTATTTTACGAATGTATATCGGATAGCTTCGGCTATAGGATGAAATATACAATCGGGAGAGGCTAACATAAAAATTAATTAGAATCTTCGTAAATATGTTTATGGTTGAAAACTTTTATAGAATATTAAATATTCAATTATGTAAGTTTTCAAACATTTCGATTAACTATATTTTAAAAACATTAAATTATTTTAAAATATAACTCTATACATGTTCTAGTTGAATTTATATCTCAGGAGGAATCCAATTTAAATTCGGGAATGCTTACATAATTTATTATTTTATCGAATAGAAGCAAGAACGCCAAATCATTACCTAGGTCCGGGCAAGCTGAAGGAAACCTAAATAATTTTTTCATTTAATATGTACATTTTAAAATTATCTACGCTACCTTCAGCTTGTCCAGGACCAAGTAGACTTGGCGTTCTTGTTTCTATTTGATTTATACCCTAAAGGATTTGGTCTTGATTTAACTTTCATGTTCATTATCATCTATTTCACGTGATTGATGGTATTAGGATTTAATTTTCAATATTTAATTATATATGTTAATTACCTGTAAATAACTGCGGCAAAGTGACATAGCTTGCGATAATAAATGATCAAGTGCAAGTCTCTCCGCATTTACCCCATCGTATCCTGTACTTGGTACAGGCGAGTTGTATTTCTCAGTAAAACAAGGACTCGTACGTAATGTGATTGTGTTTATTTATCGAATATAAAGACAAGCATCAGAATACATATCGCGTAAAATTAACACTGGACCTTTCTTCTGAAGGAACATCCTTCGGTCAACCGTGCTTTCCCACCCGTTGGCGTGCAAAGTATCGTACGGCAGCCGTCACACTCCACCGGCCTCTGGGCGTGTGAGAAGATGGTTTTGATGGCATAGCAGCCCGGGCATTTGACGTCCATGAAATAACTGTTGGGCTTCTGCACGAGTCTCTTCAGTTTGTGTTTCCTCTTCTCCTCGATCGGGCTCGGGTGGAGGAAATCTCTCGCCAACGGCATGCTGCAACGAACAAGCAGACCCAGTTGTAAAAAGTTGACGCTTGGAAACGGAATTCCTCTGCCAAGCAACGGCGCGCTTTCGCGCGTACACGATGCAATTTCTTTCATAGAACAACGTCAGAACGTGTATACACAACATTGTGCAATCTTGTGTCGATACCAATGACACCGGGACCGGAACGCAGGATATCAAAAACTACGAGGAACCGCGAGCGCGGTTCGTCGAACGTTGTCTGCCGACACGACGGTCCGAGAGACGTTAAATTAATAGCTACAATATTCGGCCGCTACGTACTTAATGGGCGATACCGCAAACGGGCAGAAGCGCGGAGTATGCCGCATGTGCGGTATGCGCGCGGAAAACCCGATCGCCGGGCCGACCGAGGCCGCCGCGTCGCGACCAAGCGGAATCCGCGCGACGGCGAACAGAACGGCGTGGGTACTTACGTGATTCGCAGAGTATTTCGCCTCAAATCTGATAATTACAGTCGTAACCACGTGTTTACAGTAGAACGTTACGCACAGGAAAGGAACATTGTACGACTTGACGTGAAGCACTTAAGATCCTAGATGTCCGTCAGTGTCGCCAACTGCCCTTCGGCACGCAAACATTGGATCTGTTCGGTCTGTTCGTTGCATGGAGTCTGTATAAAGCCCAATGTCCACGATGCTAGAACTTGGTCCAAGTTCTAGTTTCGAGAAATCTGTAGCCAATCAACGTGCAGCTATTCCATAAAAGCTGCAAGTTGATTGGCTACACGATTCTCGAAACTAGAATTTAGACCAAGTTCTAAAGCCCAATGTCCACGATGCTAGAACTTGATCCAAGTTCTAG